AGTTGCATTAACATTGTTTTCTATATTGGACAAGTGTCCATCAGTCATATTATAATATCCACAAAGATCAGGATGTGCTTGTCTACTCTGCCATTTAGCTAGCTAGCACTACTAATAACTCTCAATTTCTCAAGTTGTCATTATTATTGTACAAATTCATACCATTTCATGGAAGACTTCCAAGGGAAAAGTTTTTCTTAAAATATTAAATCTTGTGGTGCGACACACTGATAATTTATCTGCATGTATAAATGTGTACGTGGGTGTATGGTTATGGATTTACTTTCTTTGACTCAAGGGATCAGAGCTATGCTCAATGGCGACCTGTGCTCTTTAATTTATAACAAGTATTTGTCGAAGGCAGTGTGACTAGCAGGGTTAAGTTGCAAGAGCATTCCTACATACAGTACAACACATGCTGTGGCGTTAGTCCATTTACACAGTGATCGTTATCATCAGACACTGATCATGGTCAGAATGACATACACTTGGCAGGTGTATGAGTATGAGGGTTGGACCTAAATGTCTGTACATCAACCTATCAGTCTATTATGGGTAAAAAAAAAAACTTAGAAATTGAAAAATCTTTGTTTATCCACTCAGCCAGTGGTTCTCAATCATTTTTGTCCCATACACCCTTTTCATTAAATGTCAGAATGTCATTCACCCCTTTCCAAGCCTGATTTGAAAGCATTTCCACAGTGAAATGTTTATCTTTATTTTTAATTTAATCTGTGACATACTATAAAGTGTGTGATATTCTGTACATTAGAGAATCTGAAGAATTATAGTTTGAAGAAAGGGATTGATATTCCAAAAGTTTGAGTCTACTGTCCAAATTCCCTCCCCCCCCCCCCCCCAAAAAAAAAATTTTTTTTTTACCCCAGTTGAGAAAGCTGAGAAATGGATGAATCTTCCAGTGATTTTGGCACACACTACTAGCTCTTGGCTCTTGTTTTAAATACCACTTTATTTGTGAAGAAGCACTTCCTATCATTTTTGCTAAACCATTTTCTTGCAGTTCTGCCTCCTGATGGCTTAAAAATATTCTGTATTTATTCATCTTTTCATAATCTTGTATGAGGTTACCCTGGAAATTTCCTGCTAGTACTGCCGCTATGGTACATTTCATTACAGTAATGTCAAATCTCCTAGTTAGCGCCCACACTCTCCTAGAGCCGAGTCCTACCATCTACCATTCTTTATGAAGAAAGTCCTTATATTTTCTACATTTTTGCACATTTGCAAATGTGCCAACTTTTTATGCCCTTTTCTGACTTTAGAAACTTTTCTTACGGTCTTCTTAATGCCTTCAGGAAAAATTATTTAATTTATAATATTTATGTCCTCTTTTGTATTTAAATTTTGGCAGATTCAGACTCAGAGATTGGCAGATTCTTTTCTCATAACTATTGTGATCATATTGCATGTTGTTGTCCTCTTATAATGCTGTTTATTTTAGTTCCCATGTCCTATTCTCATAACTTTTCTTATATATAGTACCTATTTTTTTCCTTCATATTTTTGGACCTTTTTAATTTTCTTCTTGTGCTATACCAACAGAAAATTAAACAGGTACCAATGCAAATGAGGAGTCACAATAACGTGACTGAAAAATGTTGACCAAACCACACACGAGAAAGTGAAGAGACGACGACGTTTCGGTTCATCCTGGACCATTATCAAGTCGATTGTCGACGACTGAAACGTCGTCGTCTCTACACTTTCTAGTGTGTGGTTTGGTCAACAAAAAGGTACCAAGATATGCTACGAGGCAGGTACTAGAAATACTGGCAAGACAAATGAGGTGTGTGTGTATTCATGTTCGAGTGTGTGAGAAAGCGTGCACATCATATATAAACCAAAACTCCTAAATTACAGTATTCACTATACATAAATCTAGTAAGATACTGAATAATATCATATAGTACACAGCACTCATGTCAATTGTTTCCTGCATATTGAGCTCTCATTTCTGTAACCCTACCTAGCAAGAAATCACGAGCTACATCCTACTCCAAACATTATGCATATTGCCTTCATTCAAAAAAATAATCTTCAATACACTTGTTGCATCTTACTATGCAGTGTCTAAGATTTAGGAGGCACAGCTTCTGTGTTTGGACCGACTGTTGGGTTTGCTGACAGTGTACTCTCTGACTGTTCTTCATGGTGCGATATAGTCTCTGCCTCATTCTGTAGCCAAGGTGTACCAGTAGAGGTTATGCCGTCATCCTCCAGAGGATGTGAATTGGTAGTCATTGAAACTCCTGTGCTCTCTGGAGTCAAGGACTGATCACCTGGTCTAGTTGAATTTACTTCCTCTGAAGTTTGGCTCTGAATTGAATTGTGTGTCCAATACTCTGAATGGGAAGATTGAGTATGTGTGGAATAATTACTTTCCAACAAATCACTGGTCACCGGAGAAAGTGTTACTTCATCGCTAGTTGTTTCAGTACCCATGATGTATGTTTCACTTAAGTTTTCAATGTCTGTAGTATATTCTGACAGTAATACATGTGATGTAGAAGCAAGTACTGTGGCCTCAGTTATAACCTGCCCCCGTGTTTGTTCCTCAGTTGAGTGAAGCTCTTCAGCAGTATATTCTGCTTGTACATAAACACCATCAGTTTTATTTACTGAACTTTGGTCAACAGAAGGTCCATCTATTATAGCAGAAGTTGCCAATCTGCTATTATTGGCCAGGATTTCCTCTGCTGCCAAATTAGTACTGGTACTATCATTAGCATGTATTTTCAGAACAGGTTGTGGGGATTTTGCATCCCCATGCACCAGGTGATTCAGAGACACAGATTCCTCTTCTACACTGCCTTCTTCAGCATTGTCTAAGATTGCATTTCCACTATGAAATATTTTCCCCACCAGACTATACAAACTCTCATTCCCTTGAAATTTTATTTCAAATCCTCCATTCTCTGAAGTGTTTATGTACATTTTAATGTTTTTGGCCTCCAATAGACCCCTGAATGGGCATTCAGACTGACGATGAGTGTTGTGTTGACCCTTGGCATTTAAGAAAGTGTTTTTATCAGATTCTTCTCCATTTATAATAATAGGCTTCAAATTTAGCCTCGAAATAGTATTATTGGAAACAGAAACTTCATTAATCTCTTCAGATGGCGAGTGTGCTATTGGAATTGTGCGTTTGTTAGTTAAGTGAGGAACAATGTTGTCAACATCTCCATTAAATGAAGAACCCATGAACTGTAAGTGGTATATTATGGAAGCTGAAGCTGTAGGCCAAGAAGTTTCCATAATTTGTTGACCTTCCATATCCTTCTCCTTTGAATTATCACTTGTTTGTGGCTCCTCTACTGTTTCTTTAACTATTACTACATTTCTTTTTTCATTGTCTAGCAGTACCTCATTAGTATTACCATTCATTACTTCTACTCGCGTATCGGCACCACTGCTCTCATCCATATTTTGGCTTGTAAGAGTGTATAAAGAATGTCTTCCTTGAAGAAAATCCGTAAGAGACAACCGACTGTTGGGTACAGCTTGTATTGGTCCAACAGATGAAGTCTCGGGACTTTCATGGGAATGCACTACTCCTGTCCCCTTTCCTACATCGTCTCGAAGTACTACAGGAGTGACAGTACCATTAGACTCTAAGAGTTCTGAGTGAAGGTCTTCAAGAACCCGTGATCTATTGTCTATCGGCTCTACTGTTTCTTTAACAGATGATGCACTAGTTGTGTGTGCCTTATTCTCCATGCTTGTATAATGAGAAGCAACAATAACCGAGGAGTTTTCATGAAAAACATTAATAGGTGAAGTTTCTTTTACAGCATGTGTTTGATCTTCTGCAATTGTATGGCTATGAATTAAAGAAATGTTGCGAACAGTTTGATTTTCTGGAACAGTAACAGCATAATTTTGGCTGCGTTCAGGGGTGTGTTGTTCTAGAGCATCACTATCAATCATAGATTCTGCATCAGCCTTGGCATCACCACCCATGCTTACATTTGCTACACTGTTTTTGATTACATGCTCAATTTCTGACCCACCCGATACACTCTCATGAACATGTGCGTGATGGTAAATACTCTGCAGGAGATCATGAAACTCCCCATGACCTTTTATATTTAATTTAAACCCATCACTGGAGGTGCTAAAATTAACTTCCACTCCTTTTGCTTTCATAAGCTCAATCAGAGGACAATTTGCATTTGAATTACCCATTTTTGAATAATCTGGTATTTCCTGACTTGTAATGTCCTGATATTTTGCTTTGTGTTCATTAGATTGTCTAGCAGTACTAGGATTTTTTTGGTGATACAAGACCTGATATGCCTTATGTTTATCCTGAGACATAAGATCGGTGGGATTACCGTCTTCCAGCAGAACTCTATTCTTCGAGGATAAAGAGGAGTCAAAACTGTACGGTGGCAATGGTGCCGTGGATGACAGTGAAGACTGTATACGGCCCTTCAATGGAGTATAGTTATCAATAATATTATTATCAATACTATTCATATTATCAAGCTGACCAGCATTCCTGTTTAATAAAAATGGATTTCCAATGCCATTGATTGTATGTAATTCTTCCCTGTTATAAGCAGCATTCACCTGTTGCTTATTATTTCCCCCTATTCTATTAGCATACCATGCATTATATCTCCTCTTGTTACCTTCCTCCACTGGTTGTATTGCGACATCCCTACTAGTCACAGGCACCCCATTGCTATTAAAGGACCACTTCTTGTCATTCACTCTATTACCTATGAGTGTCTGCCTAATGTTTACAGTATCAGGAACTATCTGTTCCATATTCATTCCTCTTAGGCCATCATTCAAAACAGGATCCTGTGCTTGCACTAAACTGTAAGTATTCAACAATGGATTTTGCTGATTACCAACATAGGGAATTCTCAGGAAGTTAAAGATTGTGCTGTACTGATTGCTTGGTGGAAGCTGAACTAATACAGTATGTAGATTAATGGAAATGCTAGGAACACGATCATATCTGTAACTACCTGGTATATGGCAAGTGATCTTCTTCTCCTTCCATGGCCCAGTCAGTTGTTTGCCATCCTCATCTATGCTGATGGCACGAATGTTAATATTGATTTCCTCTTGGTGCTCTGTACATGTAATATTCATATCTTTAAAGTTGGCTGCTAATTGACCTGGAAAAGAAAAAAATATTCTTTTAATTGGGCTCTGTCCGAGTTCAATACAGTAAATATCAAATATACATTAGTGTACCTTTCCTCTGTCACAAAAGAGGTAGTACATACCAAATATTAGTATGCTGAATATCCAGTACAGTATTATGATTTGAAAAACATTCACAGTCAAACTTTGCTAAAGATCACTCACTCTCTCAGCATTTTCTACTTAGCTTTACTCATGTTACTCTTCAATAACTACATTAAAGCAGGCGTGGTGGTAGGCTTGCAAGGAAGATATACAAGAGTGAAGCACAGAGGGCAAGGCTGGCAGGAAGACACCACTCCAGGGACAGGGAATGTGAAGGATTACACACAAGACCGGTCTCATCATGCCATGCCATTAGATGCAAATACAATTTTGCAACCTGCACAGAGGCTTTTCTCCACCAGCTGCCCTCTTAAAGTTAACTTCCCATCAAGAACACAGCATCACAAATTAATAGACAGGTACTCTTTACCAAAATATTAAGACATTAAGATGATATTTTAATCCCCTATTTAAGCATTACATGCAAGTCTTGCAATATCACTCACACAATTTCCCTCTTCTTTCTCAGCTAAATTCCATAACACTCAAGAATAATACTGACATAATATTGAATATCAGCAAAATATAGTTTTAATGGCTTCCCCATCATTTGTGGGAGGAGCACTATCATAATAAACTACCTTTTTGCTTATTTTTTTAAAACTACAGTTACTGATTATAACCAAATATACCAGTATCCTACTTTGGCATTACAGTACTGTATATGCCACTCACTAATATTGTCCATAACATAGTATCTAGTGTCAATAATACAAGAAATTGGTAATGCTTGTCAATTATGAGCAAGTGTCATTGATTTGCCACCTTACCTGGTGCAGAAATATACTGGTGCTCTGTGCCATTCATTCTGTAATGTAGCTCAAAAGAACAATCTGGGGCATTGCATTCATCATGTTCCCATTCCAGTTGCTGATCTTCCTGGTCTATGCTCTCAATCTTGCCAGGAGCTGAAAAGGAAAGCATCATTCCAATTACAGTATATACAGTAGCCAAGTTATTTAATGCTCGAGTTAGTTTTCGGAGCAACTACTGGAAAAAATGAATATATTTTCACATGTATCCCAAAATATGGAGCCCAGATTCCACAAATATGAAGACTAAACCACACACCAGAAGATGAGGAGGAGACAACGTTTCGGTCCGTCCGAGATTATTTTAAAGTCGATTGTGATGGGATCGAGGGAGACACATGTATTAAGTAAGGCAAGAGAGGGGCAAGGAAAAAATTCCTAGAGGAAGGCAAGAGCAAGGGTGAAAAGTACAGATGGGATGGGGGTAATAATGGGGTGCAAAGACTATGGGCATACCATAGAAAAGTGTACCAATCCTCACTGTAAGGTCAGCAGTGAAAATAAGCCTAAATCACCTCCTAAAATTCATAAGTGTCTCAAGCAGTGTTCTAAAATTCATAAGTGTTTCGCCACTTGGCAGTGAAGCTCACTGTCAAGCAGCGAAGCTCACTGCCAAGTAAAAATTACCAAGTGGGAAAGATTAACAATCACTAGCTAGTGGAAAATATTAATAATCACTGCCAAGTGGATTAAAGATTAAATCATCACTGCCAAGTGGATTAAAGATTAAATCATCACTACCAAGTAGAGTAAAGATTAAATCATCACTAGCAAGTGACACAGCGAACTAATCATTGTTACCGAGACAAGTAAAGATTTCAGGAGCCAAACAAATATAATTTAAACAAAATATTTTACTCTGGACCAAATAAAAATAGCTACTTAACCTGCCAATCAAAAGGTCAATACTCAGGATTATATATAATTTTTAGTGGATATAATAACAAGTACAAGTAATCTGGTGTATATAAATACAAGTACTGTATTGTTAAAAGATCTGCATGTCATTCTCATATCGAGAGAGAGTGAGGACACCAGGAAGAGCGAATGGTCCAGTTCAGATATACTGTATGTTAGTACTGAAAGATGATGCTATGGATGTCGAGCAGCCTTATGGGTAACAGCAACGAGTAAATGGATCACTAATGTTCTTAATTTAGGTAAATGACCTTCTGGAGGAGGCTAGAGTGTTAGTGTTGTTGTTGTTGATGCTAATCTGATGAGAAGCATAAGGGCCAGTGGAGACCATGATGCTACAGGAACACCTGGATACGGTGCATGAATCGCCAGCCAAATGACTACCAAAATTTTATGATTTAAAACAAAGCAATAAGGTTTGGAAGAGGGGAGACAAGACCATTAGGACAATATGTTTTATGAGAGAAGCAGTTACAGGTGTCAAAATGGTAAAGAGAACCTATACAAGAGTGGATGCAACACCAGCCTTAACACAAGAGGCAAGGTATTAATATCACCTTGCCACTGATGTATACAAGACTAGCAAACATAATGACGGTTTTAGAATAACCTGACCAAAATCCTTCGGAATATTATACACAGCACATATTGACCAGTTCCAGATTATACAGCTCCATCATGGAACCCACACTTGGTAAAACACAAGCAGAAAATTTAGGTGATCAAAATATTTGCCACAAGTGTGTTACAAGAGACGAGAAATAAGCTGTGAAAATAGGCCAAGTGAAAAAACAAAAACAAAGAAAAGAGACATTGGAAGAGAGAAATGGCAATATAAGCATAACATACAAGATTCTGAGGGGGGAACAGAGAACATAGACAGTATGTTTTTGAGGTGAGATAACAATCTTAGGTGGACAACTTCAGCTTAGGGGGCACAGGTGGAAGTTGAAAAAACAGATGAGCAGAGAAATCTAAGGAAATACTTGTGTGCAGTGAGTGATAAACGAGTGGGATGACATTGAGCCAGGTGGTGGTGTCAGTTTCAACATCTATAAGGCAAGGTTCTGAAGCTGGATCTTACTCCCTATAGACACAACTAGGTAAAGATCTAGGCGAGTACAGATGGTTGCACCCTAGGAAACCACCACTACCACACAATTGTAAAATGTTAACAGAAGTAGTTCGGCCATTTAAAAGAAATTCTCTACTGCTGTTATTAATAATAATAATAATAATAATAATAATAATAATAATAATAATAATAATAATATTATTATTATTATTATTATTATGTATTTGCTACTACAGTGCTTTACTAATACTCCTACACTGTTTTACTTATATATAGTATCACCAAAAACTGCAAACCAATTGTTTTTTTAATCTATGTATAAAAATTTGCTTGTTTTACACTGCTGTACACCTGTTCAGTCAAGCCATAAGTGTAAAAATTTGTATAAGTTATGAAAAAATTTCTATTCTATTCTATGAAGATGTAAATTCTAGTTTCTCTACATTCTAATAAGTACAAGAACATTAGACACCTTAAAGCTGCACAGCCTGTGCAAATCACAATACTGTATATACACAAAAGACTAAATCAAATGATAAACCCGAATTATAGAGCCTAAACCTAAACTAAGAGCTTAAACCCCAGGCTCTAATGTTTAAATACTTGAATTATTCCAAAAGTTCTGCAAACCTTCAGGTTTACCATTTGATATTTTATGTTCCATGGCCTAAACCTGGACTAAATTAAATAAATAGCTGACCACAACCCAAATGCACCCGGGCAATGGGTTGAACAAGTTGGTAAATACTCTCCCTTGCTTTTGTGGGGTGGTGGTACAGCACTAAGCTTTGTGGTGTGGTGGCACAGCACTCGGCTTTATCGTGTGGTGGTACAACACTCGGCTTTGGGGTGTGGTGGTACAACACTCGGCTTTATCGTGTGGTGGTACAACACTCGGCTTTATCGTGTGGTGGTACAACACTCGGCTTTATCGTGTGGTGGCACAGCACTCGGCTTTATCGTGTGGTGGTACAACACTCGGCTTTGGGGTGTGGTGGTACAGCACTCGGCTTTGTACCACACGAGTGCAGTTTCTAGCCTCAGCCAGGGCGTTTGGAATTTTCAAGTACAAAAGACTAAAAGCAGCCACCATGAAACACTGGTAAATTAAATTAATTAAACAATGGGACAGGATGGAGTACGCTCAAATAGAAGCATGCAGAAAACTAATCTGAATTTAAGCCATAACATATAAAAGTAAGCTTCCATTCATGTTCGACACGTGGCTCAAGAATCGATTTTTTCAAATGAATGCACAGACTTTCATATAAACTAACTTACCAATGCAGTCAAATAAATATTAAAAATATAGATGAACACACTAAACTGCAATGTTACAAGTTAACTACTGTACCTGAGGAAAGAGGTACATATTGCAGAACTAATAACTAGGAAAAGAATATGAACATTATTTAAACGACTTGATAAATACAGTGAAACCTCGAGTGACGAGCGGCTCCATCTACGAGCATTTCGAGTAACGAGCGAGCCACTCGCTGAAAATTTGTCTCGATTGACGAGTTTCCGCTCTATTAACAAGAAAACCACGTGGTGCTTCCTAGCGTTCCCGCTGGTTTTCGCAAATTTTCGGACACCTCCAAAGATGCAAATAATTTTTTTTTAAGATGCTAATGATGCTGGGATGTAAAGGGGTGACTGCTGTAATGTTGCAAAGTATTTAATTTTTTTTATATAAAAATTAAAAAAAAAAAAAATTTGAAAAAAGAACAAATGTCATAAACATTCGTTCAATGTATGTCAGATAGGCTGCTCCATTATTTATACAAATCGAATATCATATTGATGTTTTTTGCTGGTCTCCACTGTATAGAACATATTTAACATTTATATAGAATGGCTAAGGAATAAACACAGTATCTTCTATTTAGTAAAATTCGGTCTCACAGAATTATTGTACTTTTAAAGACACTCGACACCACATTCAATCAATGTACCAAGTACCTAGCCATGTTCATAAAAATATTTTACAACACTCACTTCCAATCCTTGTCCTCACATCAAGACAAGCGGCTGCTTCACCACACAATTCAGATTTTTCCCCTTGAGAACAGGGTATAACTTTGAACTCGTATTTTGTGAAGGGTTCTAAGTCTGTCACATTGTACTGAAAATAAGGAAAGGTAATACGTTAAAATTCATTGCTCTTCCTTTAATATCTGTAATCATGAAATTTGACACATTGAAGATGCATTTATTTATAGTGTTTCATTTAGCTGGCTAACTGAAAGGTCACGCACTGAAGATTTAAGTGTTTTAGTCTTATAAAAAGTATCTCGTAACATTAACAATCTTGTAAGTACAGCATTTTGTCATTTTAATTTCTTCAATATGATTATTAATACTGAATATATTTTTTGTACTGTGCTTTAACTATCCTCTTACAATTAGTATTATATACCATTGCAAAAATAAATGTATTAATATTATTGTTTCAGCCGACAAACCTAAACTCCCCAAGCACACACTATTGAATGTGCCTGGGGCGTCCAGGACTGTGCCTGGGGCGTCCAGGACTGTGCCTGAATGCCCTAGGCACAATGGGGTTCAATCCCCTTGCACAGCCTCAATACTTTCTCATGGATACATCATGTTCTTAGTAATATATTGTGCATATCAGTAATAAAGCTAATGGCAAGTTACTCTAATGGAATTAAACCATGTACTGTACTGTATAATATTCTTTAGAAATTAATATTGTTGCAGTTTTGCTAAGAGCACTGAAAACTTTGGATTCTATTACATTTAAATTTGTATTCTATGCACTAATAAACTGTCTACGGCACATTTATGAAATAAATTTTGAAATGAAATTTATAATACTAACCATAGTCACATTTGAGGTATTGTTGGCAATAACACTTGTTGGCTTCACAGGCGGTCTCGAGCTGACCACGTATTTTATGATCTTACCATTGCGTTCCTCATCAAGTGGAGGCTCCCAAGCAAGCAAGACCCATTCCTGGCCCACAGCTCTCGCCTCCAGCAGGCGTGGAGAACCGCTGGGCTCTATAATTTGGAATACAACCATGTGTACATAATATGTATCACCCCCAGAAATATTGTAGCTTATTCTACTTTATCTTCTGAAAACTTTAAATTAATAACACAAGGGTCTGTAAATAAATATTACGTGCTTGGTACTGAAGACAATTAATAGCAATTTAATTATGCATGAAAATTTTATATATGTAACTTATCATGAGGCATAAATTACAGTAAATTTCAACTGAAATTTACACAGCATCTTAGTTGATATATATCAGATTGTAATAAATTATGGAACTGAAGGTGTAGATTGCATGTTGTTTATATAACAGCTGTAATGAGCAAAGAAACAATGCATGAAGTCTACATACTGTCTGCCTTTGTCCGCACACGTAGGGACCTGCTCCACTTGCTAAGTCCCATCTCAGTGAGGATTGCAATGTTGAAGATGTAATTGGTATATGGATGCAGGTTCTTCACCTGATGCACAAGAGTTGTTTCATCAGATACCGTTTCATATGTCATACCTGTAAACACAAATTATACCCAAATGAAAACATGCAGAAATTCTTAAAAGGATTTATTATACAAGTGTTCTTATTGTGTAAATATTCATGCATGCATGTGAATGATATTATTTCCTGTATTGTGTAATCCCCCTTTTTTTAATAGGGTAACCTTCTTGGACTGTATTATTGTTCTGTACTCCTTCAGTTATCAAGCATTAAGATTGTCACTAAAATCCAGCAAAATATTTGTAAAAAAAAAAAAAAAAAAAAAAAATTAGTAGAAATTTACAAGGACCATTGGGGTTGGTCACTTCTGGTAAACATGTGGGGGGGGTTTGTCCCGCCTGTTTTCAGATTCTGCTTGCTCATTCGGCTTTTGGTTAACAATTTTTCACCAGCTGTAGTTTGTTTTGGGATTCCTACCTTTCTGAGTGACTGACCTGGTAGATGGCAGATGTAGACTGCTTCCACCTACACGGGGGTGTCTACAGACCATTGCTCCTTGTGCCTCTGAGGGGGCCTGGTTCTGGCTCATAGTCCCCAGTAGGCTAAGAACTCCATCGATTGACTGTTGCCATGGTCTTGTATATACTATATACACATCAGCCCCGTATAGCTTCGGGGAGCCGAAGGGGCTCTCCACAGAAAATGTTTAAGCTTTATCTAAGCTGATCAACCAGGCTATGATTCATACACCAGGGTGCGAGCAGCCACGTCCAACAGCCTGGTTGACCAGTCCAGCACCAATGAGCCCTGGTCGGGGACCGGGCTGCGGGGATGTTGAGCCCCGAAATCATCACAAGGGAATCTTATGTAAAGATGTAGATAGGTATACAACCAAATGAATAATATGGCAAAACACATTTTACTTTACATAAACTGAGTGCCACAAATGAACTTAAAAATATTAATTTACTAACCTGTCTCCGGAGGACAGCTTTCTGCTGTCTGCTCTCTGCTCTCCAAGCTCTCTGCGGCTTTACAGTATGAGATGTTGAAGCCTGTGGGCTCTGCTGCTTTAGCTCTACAGTCAAGTATCCACTTCAAATTTACTTCTGTTGAAGACCTGACAGAGCAAAGGATAGCTTGAAGTTAAAAATCCTGCACTGAAATGTGTCTCGTCAGCTAGTTAAACTGCACCTGGTTTTCCCAGGCAGACAGCACAATAAACTGTGCTTGAGGATTATATATACTGTACATATAATTATATGAATACTGTACTTGAAAATTCCAAATGCTCTAAGACTAGAACAACACAGCCTGGGAACCACTCAGGTCTATTATTTAAGAGAGAGTAAGAGAGAAAGAGGCAGATAGAGACAAAATATTTTTTAAATAACCATAAATAAATGTATTTATCTTTTTTATTCCTTTGGTTGCAAAATATGATAGCAATCTAATCAAGGAAATAGGGTCTTGGCTGCAATATCTAACCTCCATCCATGTGTGTATAAATACATGTTCAAATCATGTAATATTCATCCAGGTTGTCTGACCTTCAAGACAGGCAGGCACCTTGACCCGATAAACAATGCCTTGTGATTGCAACAATAAAATGTCTCCCCTGCAGTAGACAAAAAAAAAAAAGCAATACACTTCTTTCAAATCTTGACACCTGTTTCTATGATTTTGTTTTAAACAATTATGGCATGTTATGATATTTTATATACGTCTTTGACAAAAATTTAAAGTGCGTTTTGGGCCATATTTTCTAACATTAAAAAAAAACAAAAAATTCCTGATGTATATATACATTTTTTAAAAATAGTACAGCTTGAGAATAGTAATTTTCTTACTAGAGATGCAGTAAAAATTAAGAATATCGAAATTTAATTTTTTATATTGTATTTTGATCCTTGATAAGGACAGGGCTGAAAAAAATGGCATCTCAACCAAAGAGTTAATAAAAATCAGTATAGACACTGAAGAGAACTTGAATTAATATAATCAAATTTGCATCCCTTAAATAAATGCACAAGGTACATAAATTGAACTTACACATGGGTCATTTCGAACTGTTCAAGCGGTGGTGGACGGCTGCCATGGCTAGCAATGCAGGTATGCCATTTTATTCCACTGGAGGAGTTGTTAGAGTTGACAGATATGCCAAACATATACAGAGATGAATTTTCAAGATCTGTAAGATTCTTGGATGTGATGTTTAGATCTTCAATAGTCACCCATTCAAGTTTGTTCTGTGGAGTTACGAGCCAAATGAACATTACCAATATTAAAAATAATCAATGATACTGCAGAAATACAAAAGATAGAAGTTTAGAAATTGACTTCCCACCACCCTGACACTTCCTCTCTCATTACAACCCTGTTTTCTGTCAGACAAGTATAGTACTCTAATCCAATCCAGTTTCTTCCTCATTACCCAGCCTCCTTTCCCAACTTGTTAATCAGCAAAGGTACTGCTTATGCTCAATCACTAGTCCATCTTATAATAACAATGTTTACCATTACCATTTAACATTTTATTACAATTATTCCACTCATCCCTTGGGAGCTTTCTATTTTTAATCAAATTAAAGAAGTTTTTACCTATAAAAATTGCCGTCCACACTTCCGTGGAAATAGACATTCCATTCACCTGGACTATACAGGTCTCGAACCGTGGACCCCATGTGCATGTGTGAGGCCGACACTATCCACTGGGCTATGAGCAGCCTTAATAAGGAAAGTTTCCAGATGTATATCCACAGTTCGAGACCCATACAGTCCAGGTGAATGGAAAGTTCTTACCCGTTCTCTTGGTAATGTTTTTCAGATACAGTGAAACCTTTCTTACACCAATTTTCTTTTATTCTGATGTAGGATTTCACTACTTGTCTCCCGTTACTGAATGACATTAGCTCCACTAAATACTCCCACATCTGTACCAACACCTCGTGGATTTCATCATTGTACAAAAAATCTATTATACCTCTATTTTGTTTTTGTTTTACTTTCACTAGGTCCTTCCTCTCCTTACTGTAGTTCCTTTTAATACAATATTTGTTATTTTACAGACCTAAGTCTATTTTTCTCTAATCTTTGTTACCTTTCACTCCTTACTAGTAACAATTTACTAAGATACACAACTTTACTAAGTTACACAGCTTTACTAAGTTACACAGCTTTACTAAGGCATTCTACACTTTTCCACTATGTTACTTTTTCATGTTCAACTCTAATGTCCTAGTCTCTCACTTCCACCACCTAATATTATTAACCAACCTCTAATTATCAAAGTGTTTTTAATGTAACGAGTCCTAAAACTTTCTGATAATGTTTGTGGCAAAACTTTTTTGTATCCATACAGTGAATTAAAGAATGATACAAAATTTGTAATGAATAATAGACAATATTAGTATGTACTGTATCTTAAACTTCTGTCAAGTGATTCAACTAGTTCAGCCAAAACCGCAAGAGACAGTCATGGCACTGAAGTGACAAATACAAATTATTTATACGACTAGAAATTTAATAGCTAACCCTGTGTATCTGATAAGTTTGATAAAGCCTTAACAGGCAAAATTTTTAAAAATATCGAAACAATCAACTTTAAACTAAAAATAACAAGTCGTACCTGACAGCGTTCTTCATATTTATCTTTCTTGCACCAATAGAGTGTCAAACTCTTTATCTTCTGGTTTTCTTGCTGACTTTCAGGAAGACGCCACCTCAAGCTATAAATGTTGTTGGAATCGCCATAGGCAAATACTTTGAAGTAGTTTATGGGCTTCAATATAGCAGTCATCTCTGGTACTACAACAACTGATTTTAAATCATTACCAGGGGGTCCTTCATCATTCATGGGTATAATCTCAAACCTTAGTGATCGAGAAAATATAATGTATGTATTAGTCAGGTGTTATGGAACTTGCCATACAGTATGCAGAGAATAAATCACAATAATGTGGCTAAAATAAATAACTTGATTCACAACAGTTGCCTAACTCCTGGGTACCTATTCTACTGCTAGGTGAACAGAGGCCTGAGCTGGAAGGAAATGTGCCCAACCATTTCTGCCTTGCCCAAGAATTAAACCAGAGTACCTCAAGTGAAAGCCGAGGACATAGACAATTGTGCCACCTGGTTGATAACACATGGCCACAGGATCAAACAGGGTTTCAGTTGATGGCTGAAACCAATAGGTCTCCTGGTTCCATAAATAACTAGGGCTAGCAAACTTCTATAAAATTATTTTTCATCACTAATAGCATATATCTTTTAGTAACAAATATTTTGAGAGTTTTACCTGTAAGCAACATCCTTATCCATGCTGGAAAATTTGGCATAAGCATCTCTGATATCAACTTCATGAGAAACAGGCCTGAAAAGAAAAACTAAATTAAAGCATGAAACTCTTATGAAGTCTGTTCTAAGGAGAAAATGACAAGGACATTGGGGGAGTAGAACAACTACCAGAACCCCATCAAGCAGGTATTCCATTAACATACTAAATTGCCAGCAACGTGCATGCTTACTCGCTCTCTCAACCACAGCAATCCCCACCCCACTCACACACACACACAAACACACGCACACACCATACTGTATTTTCTTAGTTATTGAAGTTGAAATTGTGGTACAAGTTAATTATTTTTGCTGGTAGTCAAATTAGAACAAAACTACATTTCCTAATAAATGGCAAAAAACATATACGGTACTACATTAAGTATACACTGACCTATTAGTCTGAACTTCAAATACTGAGACATTGTAATAAAAATTAGGACCGTTCCAGAACAGTGGGTCAACTTTTTGCCAACTGATGTAAATGTCACGATGCGAGAGCGTTTCTTCTATTTCAAATGTGCCAATGTCTGTCAAAGGTGCTACTGTGGGACCTGGAAGAAAAAAAAAGTTCATCCGATACAATTTAACACAAAACAAAGTTTGTAACTCACATCTTGTTTATAAATAAGAGAAACCATAAGCATATATTGCACAGGAAGATCTCCCTCCAATGTATTGACTGAAGTTAAACCTTGTGTGTTGTAATTTGCTGCACATGCAGTATAATCTTGTGAAGCTTTTTCAATTTTTTTTTAACATTTTACAATACTTCACAATAGGAAATTACGTACATAATTTTTCTAAATAAAAAACAGATACTTAATACTATTCCATACATGTTATTAAAAAAGGACGACTAGAAGCCTTCTACTTACGAGTAGCAGCAGTCCTCTCGGTACGAATAGTGGCATCTGACCACATGCTTTGTCGGATAGGTCCAGTTCCGGTGTGTAGCCGCACACGGAAGTCATAGAGGATGTATGCATGAAGATTGGTGATCACTCGACTGAATGTTTCCTTTTTAAACCTATCAGGAATAACCCTCCTTTGTTCAACCTGACAAATATTATAAAATGGCTGTTATATAATGGCCTCCTGTCTTTGCGATAGCCCCATTCATGTGGGGGATTGGCCACATATAATTGTGGGACAAGTCATTATAGAATCTTCCTCAGAAATGTCAAATTAAACCATAATTCATAATGCTATACTTATTCAATATTTATAATGTTTCTCTACCAAGAAGTTTGTTATAAATAATTATGAGAACTTCAACAGTAAATACTATAACCAGTTATAAAGCCAAGTGATGAATCCATAACCAATTACAAAATACTTCGTGCACAATATATTTCAATACTTCAATGCAATACTTATTGAAATACAGTTTAGTTCAATGTTGTATCATGCTGCCCGAAACACTATGCGTGCTAGTGGCTTTACAAGAATGTATACCTTCAAGTCTCTGTACTCTAATAAACCCAATGTACCTTCTTGTATATAAATAAATAAATAAATAAATAAATAAATGTTGATGCTAAAAATTTGAAACTGTCATATACCATACTCCTTGTAAATTTGGTTCATATAATTGCTGACCTAATCAGCATTTATGTGAAATATGAATTTCCAATTAATCCTGCTTTTATAGCTATTTCTCACCAATATTATCCAGATTTTTCTTACAGCAGATGACATGATACATGTTTCAGCATATTCATACATAGAAATAACAAAATGATTTTCTATGTACAGGAACAGTAATTAAACACAACCAAATAGGAAACTGGAAGCAGTTGTGGGTTTTGATAACTCTGAACAAGGCTCAGTTATTTACAGTATCGTGCTGTATTTGAACTTCTACAGTTACCCTCAACTGTCCCCAAATTCCTCAATGCCCATGATTGATGCCATTCTTTGAGCTACAGACTAAATGTACACTACTACTAGCCAGCTCCAGGCTACAATGCCGAGTCGAGTTGCTAAATATTCATTGCTATATAACATCGTCCAAATCTTCATAATTAGAAGGTTTCAGATATTTTATGCCACTTCTCTTTCCACCACTGCTCTCTATTCTTTCATAAACTTTATGGTCTGCTTTCTTTAGTTTATGTCAGAAAGAGCACTAGTATCAATGGCATATTCCTCTGCTTACCACCACCTAAGCCATGATCACATTTCTCTAATATTAAACTCTCTCTCTAATACTATTTCTCTAATACTATTTCTCTAATACTAAATTCTAATATTAAACGTTCTTAATACTAATAAGCCTATTCTTCTTACCCATGTCTGATATACCCACTCTCCACTTGCTAGATGACATGGCTTTAACTAAAATCATGGTGTGTTGGAAGAAAACCCCAGTGAAAATGCTGAAGTACTGAGGAGTCAGACTGTGCCCACAACTAAGGAACACATTGGAATGCATGCCATCAAATTGGATGTCTCCCAAAAATTGTTGCACATACCAGTACTTGTTTTTGTAATTTATAGCACAATTCATGCTTAGTAAAACATTTTTAACATATAAATGGCCAATGGCTTATATTTTGAATAGGGAGTTCACATAAACAACTGGGCCTCTACCCTTCAGACCGAACTATTTGCCTTGCTTCTTGCACTGAATTGAGTACAAGTCTCTAAACTTGATACATTAATTGTAAGTGACTCTTTATCATCCTTAATTACTCTCAACTATAGTACACCAAGAACCTCAACAAAATCTTATAGATCTGAGGCAAAGTGAAATTGACACTAGTAATTTCATCTATCATACTATCATGCAAGAGGAGCCACACATCTATGGATCATCCAATTAAATCAGCAAACTTCTGCTTGATACCTGCTTGATAGGATTCTGCGAGTTCTTCTACTCCCCAAGCTTGACTTGTGTAAGCTTGGTCCACTAGGCTGTTGCTTGGAGCGGCCCGCAGGCCCAAATATCCACCACAGCCCGGTTGGTCCAGCTCTACTTGTTACTACTATTCTACTACTGTTACTACTGCTAGATGTTACTACTGCTCGGCTTAAGACTTGGTTACAAGTATATTGTATCTCTGGGAATTCTCATTATCTGCTGATGTAGACCTGACCAAATGTAAACTGTCAACAAAATTATTTGCACACCCTCTGTCACTGTGATAGAGTGCGAAAAGATACGTGATTTCAGAGACAATTCTATAATAAATGTTTCAGAGATGTGTAAATATTTCATTCAAAATGATCTGCTACCAGAAATCTTAGCCAAATATCCCCAGTTTGCTAATTGTAGATAGTAACCTGTACTTGCGTCGGTCTCAAGTCCATTGTTAATGTGCATTGAATTTTGTAACTAGCTCATCAAGATTGTAACTTGCTTAGCTAAAAGAATTGTGTGGTTCAGTCCCTGAGCCCATTGTGTGCGCCTCTGTAACCGTTTCCACTACCACTCATAAGATGGGTATGCGGTGCATAATAAATTAACTAAACTGCTATTATTTAGAGATGATAGTATTACAGAAGAGCCTGACTGTGATAAAGATTGTGTACAATGTTCAGATATCAGTGAACACAATGCTGTTCAAGTTGTTGTATGCTATGCAGGTAGCCACAGCACACTGCCATTGTTTGGTCCATCTAAGAATCTTGAAACAACTTCATGTTCCTCTACAAAATAAATTTGTGGAAAATTATTCATTTACAGGATTTAGTGACCAGAATTCTGATAATAGCAGCATTGTGGTGAAAATTAGCGGTGTGCGTAGTACAGTATGTTGGGAGGAGGAATCTTGGCAGTGAGGTGATGTCATCTGCTGGCTATTGTGTGGCGGCTGCTATGCTGTTTCGATGCACCATACCAGCTTAGCTTAGACCCCGGATGTGTACTCTTTCGGCAACTGTATCTTGCCAGACTTCCTCGCCCTATTACGCTCAAAATATGTTCCCTACGATCCCCCCCCAACAAAAATGGTGTAACCACTGAAACCAAATTGTATTGAATTTAGCAATAATTTGACACTCGTGTTTTTTTTCAGTTAATGTTAACAATTCATTAAGAACTGCATCACAAAGGTGTCACACAAAACAAGTGTGCAGTGTAGGGGATAAAATAAAACAGAAACCGTAACAACACTTTAAGACATTCCTGATGGGGATACCTAATACAGTAGTACTGTAAGAGCAAGGATGCAAGAGCACACTAAACACTTACTAAAATCCATGAGACATCTTCAGGTTGATCTCCATCTTGCCGTTCTCTATACGAGACTTCATGAACAACGCCACCAATAAACACATCAATTGGGTGTGGTAGTTTCCATGTTACATTAACTTCGTAAGGGCCATTCACTTTAGCTACCAATTCCACTGGTGGATCTGGTAGTACTAAAAAAAGCATACAAGCATTAATCAGTCTAAATTCTAAATGATCTTCTAAATTTAAAAAAAAAAAACACAAAAAGCTGGTAAAAGTAATTCTGGTAACATGATTCTGCTGTTATAAAATGCTAATCTATGATCAAAGAGCATGTTGCAAGAAATATTAGCAAATGACGTTTAAACAGTCCCCTCTCATAGAAAGTAATCAAAACAGCCTTTTTGGTGGGGAAAGAGAGAAAATGCTTATAATATATAATAATAGAGCTAATGCTCAAAATTTTAATTATTATTAGTAAATGGGGACTACATATTAGATATAAAGTATAATATACTGTATAGCATTATTAACAAACTACTGAACAGTAAGTAAAAAATTTCTTAAAAATATTAAACACATTTTTTATTTGTCCATTTAATATACCATTCATACTATATTGCATCACAGATGCACAAACATTTAAAACACTCCAACCATTATCCACAGCAACACCCCCACTTGCATGATAAGTACTCTTCGTGAATTATCACACGCACAACAAATACATTCAACTCCCCATTACAAACTGCTTTCACCCTGTCTTCTTCCATACACTTGTGCTCTTCACATAAAAATTCTTCTGCCTCTCTCACACATGTCAGTCCAGCTGCTGCTGCTGCTCCTACCTACTTATCTGTTTCTTCACCAGTCTTGCCATCATTTATTAATTCAACAGCCCCAAACTACAGGTATTTCAGTACATTTCCTCAATCTTGCTATTTGGCTTTTACACTCCACATCTGACATTTCAACTCCCTACTCGTATTTATTTTCCCATCACTGTATATGCTTCTTTGATAATTTTTATTACTCTAATTCTGGATTTTTCATATTCATACCACACTATCTCTCAGCTAATGATCAGTGTCAGCACTAGAGCTTTGTGCAGCTTCTGGCTACATCTATCTTGTAATATCTCTATAACTCAAATAATTATGTATTAGTGAGAAGACCTATCATTAATGTACAGAACAGTATAATGATTAACTGTAAATATATAGCTACTGAAATAGAACATTCTCTGTAACTAGCTGACACTATAATTATAAGGTGCAAAAGATAGATGAAACTGTTAATGTAATAATCTCCGCTGAGGTCTGATGAAGATCATTGTGCCGTCTATAATCCTTTCTTCCGCCACCACTCACAGGCTTAGTATGGGTGCACAATAAACTATCTGCCTCTGCTGGCAATAATCAAAAATCAATTAGTCACCATCCTTACCCAACTTGCCATATTTTCAACTTCAATTGCACAAATGCCTTTAATTCCTGGGGTGCGTGACTGATGAAAGGCATTGACAACCTATAATACTTTCACATTCACTTTTATTTCCAACAGAATTTCACTCATTCTCACTTACACATCTTCACTTTCATCTTTAACATTCCCATTTGGCCCTCCACCACCACCCTTTTACACTTACATTTTCAAAAGATTTTTTCCATTTTCAGAAACTGTTTTGCATTTTTTTTATATATCCTCATTACCTCTTTTTTGTTCTTAATCTTTTCACACACCTTTTATCATCATACTCCTGTCTTCTTGCCTACCTTTCTTTCACATTAATTTTGTGTATTCATAAAATCCACATAATTTTCTTGTCACTTCCTTATCCCACTTATCCTTTCATTCTCTTAACAATTTGTAGAACTCCACTTGCTGGTCAGTCTTAAGCAAACATTCCTCACATACACGTCACTTAAGACTCGGCTGATCATGGTCTCCTCCTCCAACACCACTATCAACTCTCTTCCACCCTACCTATATTCTCTCACACGGCTTCTCAACATCTATTTTCACTTCATGGCTCATTGTGAGGCAGAATAAACTTTTTACTACTAAGCATAGTGCACTACTAAATGATTTGAGTTCAGAAAAACAAAACATGCAATACTTACCACTTAATAATTACTACTGCAAAGAAAAAGTCAATAAACTACTAACATTGAAAAACTTACCACTTTCAAAAACACTTATTTCACGTTCAAACTGAACTCCTTTCTGATTAAGTTGATTTATAGCTGTTAATCTCATAACCCACGTGTTTCTATCATTGAAGTCACTTTCACCCCAATAGCACCAATTAATTCCCTTTTGTGATTTGGGGCATTCTCTGTAGAAGAGAACAATGCGACAAAGTTGGTTAGTCAAGGGGAAAAAATTGAAGATTAAAACTGATACCAGATATGTTTAATACAAGGTAAAACTCCTGAAGTTAAAAAATTTTGACTTATGTTTACTCCAATGCCCCTCTAAAAAAAAATGCATTCCTAAACTTTATCGTCAACATTTTTAACTTCAGAAGAGTAATGAACTGAAAAGAAAATGTGATTTTTTTTTTTTTTTAAACATACAGCTACATGTGTGTGTGTGTGTTTGTGTGTGTGTGTGTGTGTACATAATGTGTACACAGTGAGGACAAGAAATTGTCTAAGCACAAAAGATCCCTGAAAACCACTTTTCATGCAGGAGAAAATTGTTCCCAGCATCAGCAAACTGTCTCTCAATATCACCTGAGGCCCACCATCAGTGTTATTTGTTGCTGATAGTTTTATACGGCATCTAGTTATATTTACAGATATATTTGCATTACTATTTGTAGATCTTTCAGACTGGTATCTATCTGAAGCCCATACGATGACTTAAGAGAAAGGATCATGTCGAATTTCATTCAAATTTTGCCAACATTAGGCCATGATCACTAAATTACACACCGTTTATATCAACTTCCAGTAACCAATAACACTGCATAAATATAAATCACATGGTATTTAAAAAGTTTTGATAAAGCATTGCCTTTTTTTTGCAGTTGCTATGCACCACTGGTAGGCTCTACAGTGTGCCACCTTCCAAGGAAAGGAGCCAAGGAAATGTGTTGGCACAAGCATGCAATAAGCATATAATTTTTTTTTTTCCTTATTCTAACACACAGCATAAGCATCCTTGATTGCGGGTCCAAGGTGATTTGATTATTTACCGCTTTCTATACAAACCCTAAACCAAGCCAAATGGAAGAAAATATTGTTTTGGAAGGCACCATACTCATTTTCTACCCAATGCCAGGATTTGTTCTATACCCTGCTGTACTGTGGAAGCAGTACAAGATAAACAAAAATTGCATACTAGTATGACTACAAACAAATTTAACAATATTAGATTATCATCATTTCAATAAAGCAAACTCTCGTTACATCCATGTTTGGTGGGAGGAACTTTGAACACTTGACTGTGCTAATATTACAGCACAATATCAACGTTCCGAGTGTGTGTGCAAGTTGAGACTAACCATAAAGATGCTAGGCATTACACAGGTTATGAAAGTAAAGTAAGGTCTTGTTGTATTTACAATTAACCAAGTCAGTTGTAAGTACAGTACAGTACATTTACCCAAGTCAGTAATGTACATGCTTGCTGTGATTATTATGTTGCCCTCATTTCTCTGTCAAGTCTTTTACTGTCCGTCTCTGTCTCTCTTGTTTGAGTTAGTACTGTCTGTGTAGGAGTCAGTTTTATGGCTGGAAGGCAAGTGGAAAGGTTACTTGCTTGCGTACTTCTCTCGCCACCACCACTGGCTTCTATTACTATTAGCTACTATTTCAAATTAGATCTTGTTTTTGCATTACGAACACTGTATGTCTTAAACTGTATATCTGTTAATTTCTTTATAATGAAATAGCCAAGATGGCTTTGCAAAATACAAGATGTAAACTGTAACTCATCACACTCCAACATCCATGCACTTCTCCAGCAGTTACCTACAAGAGAGCATGGGGTATCTGTGTATCCAGATATTACACAGTCTCAATTTAATTGTGCCATTGGGTGCTTATACAGTATATCCTGTCAATTTTGCTTGTTACTATGAAAACTCCATGTCGGCAAACTTTGGAGGGGGTAAGTATTTTAACCCTATGTAAGCTGTCTAAAGACTCACCACACACAGTTTGGACACACAAGGGAATGATTTGGACACCAATAACACAAAAAGATTACAAAATATGGCAAAGGACTATGTAACCTAAGTGAGTTAGGCTAAATAATAAAGAATGCAACTCGCTCATCATTATCAAATTTACACATTTATTGAATAAAAACCAGCATTACTTCCAAAATATGAAATATTCGTCTGTACTATAATCTTGTCAGCTCACTAACTGCACAAGCCATGTCACACCCTGAAATCTATGGTTAACTTCAATCACAAGTAATCTATCCATAACCTATGCACAATCGAAAATTCTGAGTTTGCTTCCCAGGCGGGACAGAAATGGTTGGGAGTATTTCCTTTCACATAATGCTTCTATTCATCAAGCAGTAAGTAGGTACTTAAGAGTTAGTCGACTTGTTATAGGGTTGCATAGATACAATTAAACCTTACAATACAAGTCGAGAGAAGTTGCCCAAGACAACCGATAGCTCTTTGTCATCACCTTATGGCTATTCCTCGAAATCATGAGATTATGAGGATATACTAAGGCAACTAACCTTAATATCACTAGACAAAGCGGAGAAGAACAGATTGTTTAGAGCAAGTAGGAACAAAAGTCGAGGACACAACTAGAAACATCAATAAGTTGGAGGATTATAGGCAAGTATTTCTCCCACTTACTAAATGGTCAACAAGTGAAATGACCGAGAGGACGTAGTGACGGCTAATTCTATTCACATCTTTATAAACACTGAGTTAGTAGTCATTGAGGTCTAAGAGTCACTAAGGGCCAGAAGTCATTGCACTAAACTACTAAAAGATCATTGTTGTGACTCTAGAGCTCATTCCTCATAAAGAGTAACTGGTAAGCACTGGTAATCTGGTAAGTAACTGGTAATCTGCTTACAAAAGTAGATGTGTTCAGGGATTCATAAATACTGAATCAGAATTTGACAGTGAAAGCAAATTATTTTGGAACCAGTCAAACCATTTTTACATGTTATTTTTTTTTCATTTTAGAATCCCACATTCCATTAGCACGTATTCTTCCAAAACAATGTTTTTGTGTAATTGTAACGTGAACAATCATACGATAGTTATTAAAATTCCATGAAAAAAAAAAAAATCCCAAGAAGCCAAAAGCAGTTTTTTGTACTCTCATCTACTTACCAAATGTCTTACAACCATAAGATGCTTAGGGACTGCAAGTTTTCTTGCACGGTAAACAAAACTAAATCACATCTCGAGAAGAACTTGAAAGTGTCCACTTACCTCTGAAAAACTGTACAGTACTTACAAAAGCAGATGTGACAAAAGGGTTGAAGTCTTCACTGGCACTTTTGATTCCTAACTCCGATTAAGTTTGATCCAAAGGAATATGGAATATAATATTCCAGAAAATATGATCTACCAAACAAATAAAAACAGTAGCAGCTTACATTTTAACCTTGGCATCTTGAATGACATTTTATTCTTAATTAAATATGCAATTATTAAATACATTTATATATTACTGAGCTGCACAAACCTGATGCCAACAACTCTCACTAAAAATACCAATCAATATTTTACTGGAATATAATTAGTCCATTTCTCTTACTGCAAAGTAAAGGCCCACAAACCTTGAGCAAACTGATTGATGAAAAAGATTTGGCTATGAGTCCCCAGGGCATTGAAGGAGTTGAGAGTGAAATTATACCACTTTCCTTTATCATGTGCAGGCTTGGTTAGCGCGCTCAGGAGACAAGTGGCGGTCTTCCCAAAAAAAGAATATTCGGGACACTTGGAGATGCCATAGCTACCAAGGGTTTGGCCAGGTAAGAGATTTATAAGGATGGGTTTATTTTTTTAACAGTCATTATATATGATCACTTATTAATGAGTACAACATTAATCATGCTTCTCACATTGCACACTTTCTCAAGATGGAATTTGATTTTTTTTTTTATGTAGGATTTAATAATTTTACAAAAAGAAAAATCAAACCCCACCTAAGCAACTCAAAGACCAACACGCAAACATTCTCTCTTTTTCACCTGATTAAGAACAGTCTTCCAAGATTGCTCAAGATATACTACTAGATGTCTCGAAACAATATTTCTAGCAAAAAAGCATATCAATATAACTAGACTAGATGTGCCAACATATCCGACACAAAATACCTTAGCCTCCCACATTAGTGCCAAAATGCCACCTGGTAACCATCACATAAAGTGTACCTTCCTATCTCCCATTTCAGCATCAATTAGCCCACAGACTGGGAATGTAATGTGAATATGCTCCATAAAAACCTTTATTAAAAAACAAATTTCGACAAATTTTACAGTAATCATAGACAATGTTTGAAGCAACTGATTCAGGGATTAAAATTTAAAATTTTTGCACAATTCTTCTCTCCCAACAAGGCATATAACTCGTGCATGTTGTTTATGCTAATATTTATGTCAAACTGTTTCCATGTAATTTTTTATAATAAGAAAATTTAATGTTAGCTCGGTTATCAATACTGTACTCTATAAAGTATGTTCTGATATTAACGTAGTAATTAAGTAAAACCCACAGATATTTGAATATTCCTCTTCTGCTTTACTCGTTAACAAGGTTTACAGGCAAATGATCACAGTTATCGCAGTGCCTTTGCAAAATCCATACAATATATAAAATTTGCCCTTTGAATTCCTTCCTCCCAGACATTACCTGCTTTCTCTAAAGCCACAGACCTGGGTTGTGTAACTAAGGAAAAAGAACCAAGAATGATGGAAAAGCTATGCATTTCACTTTTCTCATGATAGTATTTTCAGGAGTTACCAAGACCAATTTGCCTCATAGCAACACTTGCAATAACTTATAAACCATACAAGTTATTGTAAAAGAATTTTGCCAAAATGACTATCAAACTTTAAAATGTGCATAACCACTTTACTGTAGAACGTGACAAATTAGTAATGCTTACTAAAATATTAATAAACATGTGTTTTGTCCTCTTAAATCAATTTCATCTCATAACATTCAACATTTATGGAAGGCATTTGATATTCCCCTGATATCCTCAACAGAGGACAGATTTTAATGCTACAAAATCTACATCTATTTTTAAAGAATAGCTACCATAAGGATGCAGTCAGCCCATCACCGGTGCTGAACTACTGCACTATTCTACAGCACTTGTTTTTATATTAAAAAAA